GCTGGACTTGCAAAAAGTTGAAGGTACTGAACCAGTCAGGAAAAGGTGTCATCAAGGTAGAGAAAAGAGGCAGTGTTATGTTATGGAATATTCAAAGAATAAGATAAATCAAAGAAAAATTGGTTCTGGATATATTACATCAATTCAAGCTACAACCACATCAGGTCTTTGGTTTTTCAGTTTCAACAATCTGATTTTGTCAGTGAAGATAACCACTCTGTTTCTTTTTGAAGTATGATAGGATGGGAGGGTGGGGTGTATACTTTCCCTTGAAGTTATTTAAGAACTGACCAAGAAGAATGTTACTACCTTCAGTCTAGGAAGCCTAGAATAAAAAATGGTTAATAGGATATTGAAATTTCAATTAAATGAAGGAATGGTAAGAGAATTAAGCCTTCCTTGATGACTGTTTCATGCTTGAGAAAGCCATGCCACTGAATAACTTTACCGTCTGAGGCCTTAAAACATATGCTAGATGTACATTAGTCCTGAATATCACAGATGGCAATTGATACTTCAGGTTGGATTAGAAGATGTCTTAGATATTTTCAACTTAGATTCCAAGATTCTATGAAGTTGGTGGAGCTGCTAGTCCACATAAACATGTCAACTGCAGAGTAGAAATAGTTGTCACAAGCTGAACCCAATGAAGGACACGCTTCTGTTCAGAATTACCAGCTCTACCAACTTCAAAGGATCCTAGAATCGAGTTGGAAGACGTGTAAGAGGCATCTCTCAAACAAGAAACAGTAATTTTAGTTGGCACAGGAAAGAGCCTCAGCTTTTGAGATGAAAGACACGCTTGCTTCTCATCATAAGAAGTCTATAATCTGAGAAGTCTCTCTGCTTTTCTAGGCCTCTCTCTAAAATGAGGTTGCAGAAAAAGTGTCAATTTGCCCTGGTAGAGGGAGTTCCTTACAACAATGAGATCTTAAGTCTTCCAGGCCCTGCTGCTAGCTCTGGGACCAACCTTTATTAATACAATTACACCATATTTAGTTCCTTTTTTTGTTTTTGTAAATTGTAAACAATGTAAATGGTTACACTGTTGTTGTCATTTTGTGCATACTGTTTTCCATACTGGTTTGGCTAACTTTATTAAATTGTAACCTAGACAATTTTCTCTATAAGGTATGCACAAGACAATAATATTTCCTACTATGTATGTCCTGTTAGACTTTTGGCCCTAATTGTGTCATATCAAGTTGAAAAAGAAGGCTCTGCCCTATTCTTGGGAATATCAGTCTTAATACTAAGACTCTATATAACCAGTTGCCCCCTTCTATAATGTGAGCTTATTATCATTAATAATAATTATGGGTATTCTTACAATCAGAGATGTCTGGTTAGTTTGTGAATAAAATAATGAGAATTCTGATGATAAAAATAGTCACAAGTTAATTAGATTCTGTTCCCCCCTTCACAATCCCTGCTAAAAGGATTTATTACCTGCACATATGTATAATGTATGTGTGTGTGTATACATACATATACATCTATAGAGATAGATATTTTCAACAAACCCAAAAGGCCTACTTTCTGCATAGGAAACTGAGGTACCCAGGTTAACCAAGACACAGAGGTTTAAAGCAGGAAGCCAAGGACTCAAGCCTGAAGGAAAACTGCTGAAGAAAGAGCATTTTCATTCTTTGCCAGTATAACTTAAGGAGATAAAGTTTTCAAAGAATCCTGGGTACTTTTGTTTGCATATAGATGGGAGAAATAAAAAAAATAAAATAAAATAAAAATCTACCTTCTCCAATCCCCAAACTCATCCAGAGTTCTCCCTTGTACAAAGGAGAGCAGTCAAGCAGAACTGACCAATAGCAACTCTGTCTGGCTCTGTCACATTCCACTTTTGTGGATGTCTGCCCCCTGGACTCAGGATTGGACACTGCATGTAGTCTTGGGTTCACTTGCCTTTTGTGCTGCTTTGATTTAAAGCACTGTGGTCCTTGCATACCTGGTTCTCCATGCAGAAGACTTTTCAAGGAAAGAGTTCCAAATATGAAAGAGCAAGCAAGAGCCTCATTTGTAACACTCTACTTTCCGACTCCGAAATTACTTTAAGACCTTGAGAACTTCAAAGACTGAACAAACTTTAGTCCCTATAGGAGCCCAAAGTTAACCACAACAAAAATACCAGGAGCAGAAAAATAAAAGCTACAAAGTGCCAAGGTTAACCCTAGAGCAAAACAGTAGGAAATGGGCCTGTCTTTGGTGCTTCTTCCCTCTTTTCTGTACCATCCTCTATCACTTAAGAAGGCAGGGATCCAATTAATTAATTTAATAAGGATTCTTTTCGACAAGGACACCATCCTCCCTGAAGGCACAGAGCACTAAAGCCTCAGCTGTATTATAAAATATCAAGAAATAAAATTGTGACAGGGTCCTAGTCTAAACTCCTTGGCCTCACTTCAAGCAAAGATCAATAAACTTCCCTTGACTGGAAGACTTAATTTTAAGTTCAGGGAAGGATGCCGAGTCCTTGAAAATAAGATTCGAATGCTATCATTTATGCAGAACAAACTAAGAGTGTCAATGTATTTTTTAAAAGCATCTATTGATTTCTTTTTTACATTGCTTAATTCCCTCCTCTCCTTACCTGAGACACACTCCATAAAACAAGGAAATCTTTTCTTTAAAAGATGGGGGGGGAAGATCAGAAAAATCAATGAATATAATTGAAAAAAAAATATGACACTATAGGCAATGTTCCATGTCCATAGACTCCCCCTCTTACCATCTCTGTAAAGAAGTGGGAGTAGAATGGGAGAAGTATCACTATTTTCTTGGCTCTATTCATGTCATTCTGCATCAGTTCATTTAAGTATTTCTATTCTTTTCTGTATTCATCTTAATTCATTGTTTCTCATAGTACTATCATGTTTTTTTATATTCACGTACTACAATTTGTTTAGTCATTCCACAAGTGGTGGTTATCTATTTAGTTTCCATTTTTTTTGCTACCACAAAAAGTGTTGCCATAATGATTTTGTTGTACATGGGGCCTTTTTCTTTTTAACAGCAATTTCCTTGAAGTATATGCCTAGTAGTGAAATCTCTGGAGAGAAGATATGGAAATTTTAGTCACTTTATTTGTATAATTATAAGCTGCTTTCCAAAATGGCCGTACTAATTCATAGCTCTACTAACAATGCACTAGGGTACCTAGGTATCCAAAATCCCTCCAACATCGACTATTCCGATCTTTTCTTGTCTTTGCCAATTTCCTGGGTGTATGGTGAAATCCCATTTCTCTTACTACAGTTTAGACAAGAAGTAGGGAGGGCCTAAATTGGGATGGTAGGTGTGTAAGAGAAAGAGACATATACAAACGATGTTATGAAGATAGAAAAAACAAAATTTGGCAACCAATTAGATATGTGAGGTGAAAATACAAGATCAAGAGTGATTCCAAGGTTGCTGACAGGAGTGATTTGAAGGATGGTGGTGCTCGTAAGAGTAATAGGAAGGTTCAGAAGATAGGAGGGTTTTGGGGGAAAGATTAGTTGTTTTTGACAAGAGGAGTTTGAGATGCCTACAAGGACATCCAGTTCAAGATGTTTAAAAGGAAGTTGGTGATGCATGACTGAAACTGAGGAGAAAGACTAGGCCTGGGAGTCATCTATAGAGAACCCATGATGAGATTACTAAGTGATAGAATAGAGTTGGGGGGGTAGGGAATAAAGAGCCTAGGATAGTCTTCTGACATACCCACAGTTAACAGGCATGGCAAGGATGAAGAACCAGCAAAGTACCTGGTTCAGGACGATACTTCTCCAAAGTTCAGCACTGACATTACTATTCTTTTCTTTAAGCAAATTAAAACCTCTAAATTTAAACTATGTCCCTCTGTTTTACTTTGGGGTGAAATTGCCTTTTGGTTGAGGGTTACTATAAAAATGCAAATGGAAATTGCTGGAGTCAGAGAATTCCAATTAGCAGGGAAAACTTTGTTAGTTTCTTTCTAAGCAAGAATGATTGGCATATTAATAAATGTCTGTCACAGGTTTTGACAAGGCTAAGTAGAGCTTTCCTTTCATTGTAAGCTATCTTCAGATAGCAGTGGGAAGTTAGGGTGAATTCAATAGGAGAATAGCTGGAGGATTGTATACTTTTTCTTTGTATCAGGATTCTACAGAAAAGAACCAAAATGGAAAAATGACCAAATAGAGTAAACAGAAAACAGAGTAAAGGGATTAGGAACTTCCTAAACATCGTTATTTATCAGAAAAGATTTTTTTTTTACCCAAGAAAAATACTGAATGCTCAGGGAAGAAGAAAAAAAGCAAAATAGATGAGATTCAATGGAGTAAGGCAAACCCCAGAAGACAGTGCAAACACAAGCCTCCATTGCCTGCATACACTGAGACCTATTAATCCAATCAGCCTTGAGCTCTCTGGATGAAAAATTACATAAATCCTAAAAATATGGAAAATGAACAATTTTTTTGAAATGAGCCATCTTATGTACTCAGACAATACTTCCTGAATTGTCATAAAGGGACAGTTGAGTGCAAGACTGCTGTTTTGTTATAAACATCTGGGCTCACTTTCCAGAAATACCACTGATACTTGCAGCTGACTAACCTAGCAAGTATCTCAAGTATCAGTAAGTCAAAAGGAGCCTTGTCGATAAAGAACAATTTAGGGACAGGATTCATTGACTCAATTCCCTGGTTTCTTCAAAACCATAAATGAAAGTTCATATTCAGTTGAACATAAATATTTGAAGAACCAAATTTAAGACTCAAAATCTCCCTCTTATTCTAAGGATAGGGCCAGACAGGGTTAGACATCTCTATCATAGGATTGGAAAATCCAAGGACTTTCCAAGCACAGAAAATGAGGCAAAAGAAAAAAAAAAGAGATGGAGAGAGAGGCATGCCAACTAGTGTACAGATGCATATACGCTGAGGTTATAGAATGAGCACCCAACTAAACTTAAGCCTTTAAGTGCAGGGTCTGAAACATTTGTCTATTAACTTTCCCTGAAGACACATCTGTCTGAAGCAAGTTCAAGACGCGAGAGAGAATCTGGAAAAAGTATTGTCCTTGTCATGAAAAACATCCTCAGTAGCAGAAACAATAATCGAAGGAAAGCAGCTGCTGCTATGAAAACAAAAGGATTTGAGCAGGTATGTGACCCTTTCAGTAGCAAATCAGCCCTTGAATATCTGAGGCTGTACCCTGAAGGGATTGGATGGTCATGGAAACATTAAAAGCGCATGATAAGGACTTTTCAAAACAAGAACAAAGACTAGTTGCTGCAGTGGCTAGAATGATGGACTTGAAGCCAGAAAGGCCCAAGTTGAAATACAGACTCAGACACTTAACCCCCTCTGTATGTGTCTGGGCAAATGCCTGTTTAACCTCTCCCAGACTCAAGTTTCCTAATCTAGGGATATATAATAATAGGGATAATAATAGCATCTACCTTACTTACAAAGTTGCAAGGATCCAAAGAGATAACATATGTAAAATACCTTGCAAACCTTAAAGTGCTACTTATTATGACAAAATAATCAACACTGAAAACTGGAAATAAATACAATTCCCTAACACATCCGGTAGTCAACAAAAGAAATTATCATTCTTTTTAAAATTAAGCCATTCTCTCCCCTATTTCAGACACTCACATCTTTCTTACAGATAAAACAATTTCACAGTTCTTTTGTCAATAGCTGTCCCAGAAGCAAGCTAGATTCTTTGGTCTCATCCAGGAAGATAGATACACCTTTAGTGTCTCATAAAGCACCAAGTGATATAGGAAGGCTAGGGTGTCACTAAAAGAACAGGATGTATGATTGTTAGTGTTGGAAATGCCCAGTGAAAGTCCTTCAGCCCAGGCAGATCCTTAATTATCTTTTAGACAGTTGCCTGGGGCCATTGAGAGGTTAAGTGAATAGCCAAGAATCAGAGGCAGGAAGCTCAGTGTCTATGACCACAAAACTAGTTTCTCTAACCACTGATTCTATGGTCCTGCTGTCTTAAAAATAGAGGTTTCTCTTGAGGTGAAAGCCAAGTACTGAGACAAGCTACATAATTACAAAGGCAGAGACTTAAAACTTAAGTTTTCCTATATAGTTACAGAACACTCAGTTCTCTCTCAGAGAATTCCCACATTCTAAAGTGGAAAGCCTCATCAAAAAGTTGCTGCAGTTATGACTAACCCACATCAGGAAGAGGGACAAGGACCAGGGCAATGCCTCTTTAAGTGGGTCCTTTGGATTCTTTGTGCCATCCGAAATGAGTAGGTCCATAAGAGGATGTACCAAGAAGCTTCCTCTATTCTACTCAGAAAAAGAAAAACAAGGACTGTCTACTTTGGATAGTTATTCCAAAAGCAGAAAGTATAAATTGGTTCCATGGCAACAATAGGTAGTACCTGTGACATCAGGGTTGGAGAAAACAGGCCAAAGATGGAAAAAACTGCTTTCTGTGGGATGTCATTTTCATATATTTAGACTGAAAGCTCCTTGGTTTTTTGTTTTTTTTTTTTGAGAGAAGGATATAGTGCCTACTATGTTCCAGGTATTGTCATAATTGCTTTTTTTTCCCCAAATAATATTTATTTTATCCTCACAACAACCCTGGGAGGTAGGTGCTGTTATTATCCCCATTTTACAGTTGAGGAAACAGAGGCAAACGGAGGTTAAATGACTTGTGTAGGATCACACAGCCAGTAACTGGCAGAAGCCAAATTTTTCCCATTATGCCAACCATTGCATTGCAAGTCATAGCTGAAATCAGCCCAGAGTATCACCAAGATTCAATCTGCTGACTATTTTGCTCACCTATTCCAAGACTGTACTAATACCAACATTGATTACACTAGGAAATGGCAGTGCTCAGTCTTTGTGGTGTTGCAATTTTCACATATTTGCTATTTTATTGATTATTGTTTAAAATAATAGTACTGTATGAGAACTTAATTATTACATCTTGGAATTATTTTGTATAGAAAATATACTTAGAAAAGCGGTTACCATGCTGCTGTCCTGTTCTTCTTAAAAAGTCCCATGTGTACAAGTAGCGTTTCCTCATGTACAAGAGTCCTTTTTTCAGGTGAATATTAATTATTCTTCACATAACATTAAAACACAGCATAATTCTGGTAATTTTTAGTTGTTTAAATAGAATCTATGAGTAGTTCTGGAAAGCCTTTTTTGGTTTCCTGGGTACAATTTTAGGTAACATATATAAAAACTAAAGTGAGATTCAAATATTCAGGACATTGGCAGCTGATCACATTTACAAAGTCAGTGTGTAAGTGAACTTATTACTACCTCCATAATGCCTTATGGACAAGCAGGAGCTGCGATGTGAAGCTACGTTGTATTTCCCATTTTATATATGTCTCCCTATTTGATTTATTCAAGTTATAGTACATTTTGAAAAAGTTGGCCTTACATATGTGTCGTTGTGGCATGCAAAGAGTTATGATGACTTTACATTAAATGTCAGAATTTGTAGCCGTTATGATATTAGAAATTTTTGTGGTTTTCAAGAGTCTCAAAGAAAATTGTATATTAACACTTTTTGTCAGCCATCACATTTCCAAACAGTATTTTTAAAAAACAAAGGTAAATGTGATATGGCAGATGAGCAGACTAACCAAAATCAGTGGTTAAGGGGATTTCATTTTAGATCCTTTTAATAATCAAAGACAATAGGACATTTGCCTTACATATATACATATATGAAAAGTTTTATTGAAGTTAGAGCTAAAATAGCATACTTAATTTTATAACTTTTGTAGATACATGTCCTTTGCAACCTTCCATTCATTTCAGATCAGTTTGTAAATCAAGAGTTCTATCTTAGGGTAATTCTACAAAAATAAAGCTTGTATCATTTTATCTACGGCCACCATTTAGGTAACTTTAAAATTACACTGGTATTCAAAAAAGAGGAAAATTACTTAAGAAGTTAAGTTATATCAATAATTAGAAAACAAATCAACTTGTTTTCTTAATCAGGTTGGGGGGGAAACTTCAAGGGTAGGAGTAAATAAACTCTCTGCTTTAGAAATTTGACACGAGCAGTTTGTGTGTTAAACACAGACTAATGCACTGTATGTATACTAAAATTTCCAGTAAAATGTAGCTTGTAAATTTTCTGAATCAGCTCCTTAGTACCAGTAATAATATAGCTAAAATCTTAATATATGCTACAGTATATAAAAGGCTATAACTTCATAAGTATAGCACTTTTTGATTTAAAAAATTATTCATTCCGACTTTGTTAGAATATTAATAGCAATATTTTTAGGCTTTCATTTGTCCTGGTGGTTCTTTGGAAGGGTTTGCAAGCAAATTAAACAAGTGAAGTGGGAAAGGGGACATTTATTTGTCTTTGAAAATTTAGAAATAGATTTTTACCCTTGCCCGACAAAACCCTCTTGAATTCAGTAAATAACTAAAGAAATTCTTTTGCTTTGCTGCAGAGTTCTACTGCCTAACTTCCCTCTTGTATTAGAAAATCCAGCATAAATTTGTCATAGCCTGGTCAGTAGTTAAACAACATTTCAGAGTTGAAAATAATTTTTATTAATTAAACCATTATGGAATCTTTTTTTAACTAGATAGGAAACTTAGTTATTTCTGTGTTTTCTGCCAAGAAGCATAGCCTTAAACACATTTCTATACATACCTGATTTCTTAGCTACTTAAACTTATGCTGTTCTAAACATTACTTAATCATATTTAGTTGGCTATTTTTCTACTGAACAATTACACAATGTTAGGGAGAGTCTTATTCTAAAATTCCTTTATTTCATATCAATGTGTGATTCATGTTTTTAAGTGTAATTACAATGTATGTGTCAGAGTATGCACAAAAAAAAAAAGTGGGGGAAAGATGAATATCATATGAAGACAAGCAGATACTTTGGATTAGTTACATATTTTAAGAAGGACATAAGCAATATCATTTCTTGTTTTGCTTTAGTATTCTTGGCAATCCAAGACACCTCAAGACTGACAATGGTCGCCTATACTAGCAGGAATTTTGCACAATTTTGTCTCACCTATAATATCACTCACACTGCTGGCATCCCATGCAATCTTACTAGGCAAGCCATTGCTGAAAGGCAGAACAAGGATATTAAAAGCCTCCTTGACAAACAGAAAAAAGAGGGAATAGAAAATAGTATAGAAGATAGGGTTAAAAGGACATTGGATCAGGTAATATATAACATAATTTTTTTGACACTAGATGATCAGGGACGTACTCCTGCACAAATAGATTTTGCAGGACAAAAGAACAGGTTTAGATGAGCAACCAAATGTCACGGTAATGTGGAAGGATCCAAAGACGGGTAATTGGGATGGTCCAGTAAAATTACTAACCTGGGGTCAAGGTTATTCTTGTGTTTTTCCAGAACATGCAGGAGAACTGGTCTGGGTCCCTGAGAGGAACATTCCCACCTGTCAGCATACTGACCAGAGGGCTAGAGACCCTGAGCATCAAAGGAAAAACCCGTCAGAGAGACAAGGGGAGGAGGAAGGCGAGACCGAGAAGATGAAGAGCCAATAATAAGATGTTGACTGTCCTTTTTGCAATGATGACTGTCGCAGGTGGCTCTGGGACGGAGTTGTGATTATATTGGACTTATATGCCTTACCCACCTTGGGGTTAAACCTGTAACTTGAAATGTGATTACCACTATACTTTTGTTTGTGTAACTCCCTATTTGCTTTCTAATACTATCAATGTAACTCCTGATCAAATACTGAATAAGCTTCAGGGCGCTTGGCATTCCAGAAATATAACGTGGATGGTATTGATTCTCAAGATATTGCTTATAAGTTGTCGTACTATATCAAGCAACTTAACACTTTCCAGAATATTTCAAATTTGCTGTTGCATTTTGTACCCTGATAGTATTCTTGTTACTCTTGAGTTTTCTCCTGATGCGCATCCCACGTTCCCAAGCTAGAACAGAAAAAAGGGGGAGATGTAGAAGGCCAGCTCTAGGGAGTTGGAGGGCTTAGGCCAGCCCGGGTCTTACCTGTAGATTGTACTAAGCCTGACAGCTGTGAAACTGAGGATGTTGGCTCACCACCCCCCTGTTCTGTCTCTTGAGAACAGGATGCAGGAAGGGAGGAAACGGATGGGGTACAGGACAGGATGCAGGAAAGAATGTAACAGAGAAGGTACAAGGAAATAAGGAAATCACTTAATTAGGTTTATGCTTTTCTTAGAAAATAATGTTACTGTTGCTTGATCCAGTACTCTATAAGCCTGAGCCCTCAGATCAATAAACGGAGTTTGTTCTTCACATCTCCCACCTGGCCCATGATTCTGTCTTCACACTCTGCCGGCATCAGACCACGGCAGCAGATGCAGGCACTCGTGGCAATTAGGTGATACAGTGAAAACATAAATCATATTTGAAAAAATGAAAAGGGTAGAACAATAAAAATTGAAGTTTCACTATCACTATAGGGATTTCCCTAAGTTGGGGTTGAAAAAAATGCCAAAATAATAGGAACATAAAGAATGCATAAAGAAAGTGATGTGAAATGTTCCCTCCTACTTAATGCAGCAGCAAGAAATGCATCTTCACAAATGACCCCCATGCAGACTGAAGAAACCTCTACCTGTCAGAATAATCCTCAAGGATGATTTTTTTTTTATACATCACAGCCACTTGGTCCAGTTAAAAATTATAGACCCCTTAAGCAATAAAAAAAGTCAATTACCAAAATAAAAGATTGCTTTCTTCAGTTGAAAACAAGCCTCTAAAAAAGTAGTGTGCTGAAACCAATTTAAAGAGATAAAAAAGGAAAAAAGATCATTCATAAATGTAACTGGTAATACTTAAAACTAAATCTTATATACCTTGTCCTTTAATAACTCTTACTATTTCATGAAGACACATGAATTCAATTAGATGTTATAATGGGTAAAGGAGTATAAGCCAAGAAATTTGTGGCTTAATATTAATATAGGAGAGATTGTACATATGTACACATAAGAATTTTTAAATATATGAAGGAATTAGATCTTAGTAGCAAGAGATTTTGTTGTCCCTATTGTTTAGGTACCGAAGGATGGTCTACTTTTGGAATGGACTCATGCCCTTGGAATGACTCAGCAGAGTTAGTGCCAAGATCAGAGCCATTTACGGCTTGAAGTCCATTTCCAGAATCAGTTTTTGCCATCTCCAGAATGTAGAGCTCACAGGAAAGTCCACTTCAAAGGAGACTAAGGGATTAAAAGGGAGTGCCTATCATTGCCCAATGGATAAGCTAAGGATATGAACAAATAATTGTCAACAGAAGAATTTCAAACTGTTAACCACCAAGGCACAGATAAGAGAAATTCAAATCAAAACTCCAAGGTTTTACCTCACACTCAGGAAATCAGCAAAGATGACAAAGGATGGAAATAGTCAAGACAAAATAATAAGAAGACAAAAAGAAAGGCCTAGCTACACTGTTGTACAATAAAAAAACACTCCTTTTAGAAATGCTTGAGGTTGTTCAAATTTTATTAGAAGACAGTCAAGCTGTAGAACACTTCTTTTAAAAAATGATTTTCAAGCCTTAAAGGATTAAGGTGTCCTATTTAGACATCTGCAAAAAGAAAAAAACAATACATCTAGGAGATCAGGATATGTTAAATCCATATCTTCCCCAATTTTGTTGGAATTTAAATATCCCATCATAAAACAGAGACGGAAGGACATAAAATTAATGGTTGCCTAAGGATCACTTAGGCTGGTTTTAACAGCTGGAAATCTTCCTGAGCTTAAAAACATGGCATTTCAGAGAAAAACAGGAGAAAGCAGGAGTACAAGGCATGTACTTCAAGCAACAGGAAAAGGACAATTTTAAAACAGTAGTAACTAAACTGGCTTCTAGGACACCAACACTTTTGTGGTACTAAAGAGCTGTAAATAAAACAAGTACCCATTGATTAGGGAATGGCTAAGCAAGTTGTGGTACATGAATGCAATGGCATATTTGCCATACTGTTAGAAATAATGAATATTAATAATTCAAAGAAGAATGGAATATTTATATGAACCAACACAGAGTAAAGTAGGCGGAGCCAGGAAAACAGTATACACAATAACAGTGTAAATGGAAAGAACAAAGCAACAAAAATTGAATGCTGTGGAATTGCAATGACCAAGCCTGGCCCCCAAACAGGAGACAGGAGATAGCACGAACCTGTGCTTCCTTTTAGAGGCAGGGGAGAACGATGGCATAGAACACTGTATATAATATTCAATTTTCATATATTGGTTAGTTTTGAACTTTGTTGTTGTTAAAAGGGATGGCTTTCTAGAAGGGAAAAAGAGACAGTGGAAAATGCAGATTATATAAAAACAAAAGATACTAAGAAATGATCTCCTGAAAATGGGAGAATAGCCACTGCTGTTTACAGAAACAGAATAAACCCAAGTGAGACACACACGATTCAAACTTCCTGACTATACGTGTATTGAGACAAGAAATTTCTAACTAACGTTGTAGGAATTCCTTCTCTGGAGTTAAAAAAAAAGAGTTAGATAAGGTTTCTTGGACTGCTTCAAAATCTAGTCTAGAATATAACAAAAGGATTTAGTTATTGTGACTTCTCAGAATCTTTCTTGATCACTTATCGTACATATTACACAAGAGATGCCTCATTCTGTAGTCATGACTTAATTATCCAGATTTCTCTTGCCATCTGTCTTTTAGGTGTTTTCACCTATCATTAGCAGCGCCATCAACATGTAGACAGTGAAAGTCAGGAAAGTAGATAAACAACAAGCATTTCAATTATCTACAATATACATGTAAAGTTGTATATTAATCAGGCTCATTTTGCACCTACTAAATAGTGAGCCTCTTTCAGAGGTCAGATCACCTTACATGTAGTAAAGGAGGTGAGGTTTTGAGTAACTATTTTCATAAGAAAAGACCATAAAAGCATCTGAGCATCCAGAAGAAATACCAAACTTCACCTAACCAACTGGATTGCCTCCATACCACTCACTCATTTATTTGCAAGGTCAGGAAAGACTTTAGACTATAAAGAAAAACTGGAACCCTGAACTCCAGAGCTATTTGGTGATTATTGGGCAAATATCTGGCCAGTTAATGGCCTAATTGGCAGAGATGAAATTCTGACAAATATTGAATAGCCACCATAAATTATGGGCAAGTTCTCTCACCAAGGGGCCCAGATCTATACCATGAAACACTATTAAAGGGTAAGGACTGTACTGTTCTCTCACATCCTGCCAGAGAGGTGGCAGCTCTCAAAGCCAAGTCCCTAAAGAAGCAGAACTAGAGAGGTGACTAGGGTAAGAATCCCTATTCTTTCTGGGGGGAAAAATACAGCATTACCCCCAGTAAATGATTATAGTTAAGCCTGAAGCTAGAGGCAAGAAAGGCTAGCAGCCCAGTGAAGCTGGTCTGAGTGGCTTCTACTAAACCCAGCCTCAAAAAAGGAAGAAACAGATGGAGAAAGAAAGATAACCATAAGAAACCTAGGTGGGGTGGGGTGGTCAAAAGCAGCCACCAGAAGAAATAGGACCAGGACACTGGGAATGAGGTTTGGGCTGATCAAGTGTCAGGACAAAGGCTGTGTTGCGAAATCCCATCCTGGCCTACAGACCCCAAGGTGGTAACTGTATCTTTCTACTCTTGGTCTGTCTCAATTAAGTCTGAAGTCTTTCCCCTAGGAATCAGGTGTACTTATTTTTTTATAAATAGTGAACTAACAGGCTAGTCTGGGTGTACTTGTCCAAAAAGCAGTTGGAAGGATACTAGGGAGGAAGGGGGGAAAGGATATCAAGATGATATAAAGAGATGTTTTGCCAGAGCCCCGTCTTTGATTGAACTTAGGGGGGGAAAAAAGAAGACAGAGGAAGAATGAAGGATCCTTTGATACAACTCCTCTTCCCAGAAGAGGAGGGTTTATACCAGGAAACTCAACTAGACAATGAGTCAGTATAGGGTGGGGGGGAGAGGGGCAAATAGAAGGTGTTGAACAATCCAGCTCACTCAAAAACTTCAATATATTGAAAACTCAGTCCTGTTATTTGTCGGCAGCTTTGGCAAAAGGACTTAAGGGAATAAGCTGAAACCTATGAATAAAATTGGAAAATTTCAATTATTCACATTGTTTTCCCATGACTGATATCATAAAATGTCATAACTGATATTATAGTCATCATTTTCTTTTTTTAAATAATTTTTAAAGTTTCTAAACCTTGTTTATCACGCATTATCTGGTGACTATTTTATTTTTTTGCTAGTTGTTAGGTAATGCTCACATATGTCAATGACTTCCCTATATACCCCTGGGGAGGGGAGACAATAGTAGGATTTTAAAAGAGGAAATAGGTATAAGACTATGGTGAGTCATCAGTAGCACTGCTATGACTGCATTGAGCAAGATGAGAAAACTTTTTAGTAAAACAGTCACTTAGTTCCTTATCTTTACAAAACCCTCAAGTCATTTTATTTGACTCACTGAGGGAAAAAAAGGGGGGCAGGGTAAACCAGAGAGACCTCTTCTTCCTTTATTTTCTGGTCACTTAGCAGGGCAAAAAGCAACAATGCATACATACTTTTAACAATTTGTTTAAGCTGTGCTCCAATCCCTTGGCACTACCAGGTGCTAATAATCAGTATTGAAATATGCTATCGTTAAAGGTTTATTTCGATTAATGCTAAAATGCAATTGAAGGCAACAGTAGATTTCGGAGAAAATGACCTGGTTTGCCACATTAGTTTATAACCCTACCACTGATTCATAGCTTCCTCCTCTTTTCAGCCTGGCCAGTCAACTTTATACGGCACAGACACAAACCACAATCACTTACCCAAGTTGGAGAGCCTTTTCAATAACCCTGCTTCTCTTATGGCTGCAGGACCATGTTCGACTCCTCTTCGTTTCTGTCACATAAACAGAGATACCGGTGACAAGTTGGAGTGAAGATACTTTCTGAAAAGCTGTACTTCACATGATCCATTGGTCAGCGAATGCTAGTTAAATTAAGTGGAGCGATAACAAACATCCATCGCCTAAGACTTATCAGCTCACTAAATGCCAGGGTATTTGGGGGGGAGGGGAAGAGAGATACCAGAATTGGAAAAGTCGGGTTAACATCACTACACATTTCACTTGGAAAAGAGCCGTGATCAACACAATCACAGAACTTGAGATTTGGGGACTTTGGAGATTTATTTAGTCCTGTTCATTTCAAAATACGGAAGTCGAGCCTAGCCAGGAAGGTAAGGCGACTTATTAAAGGTCACACAGCTAGGATTAGCTGAATCTTCCCATTTCCAAGACCTGGTCTTTCCACTAGCCCGCCTTCTATGTAAAGGAGAACAAAACAACCCCTCCCTAGGCTATACTGCACCTTCAAGGCTTCTCCTCTTACTCACCTTCTCGGTCAATGCTTTCTCCCCACCTAGGACAAATTCCCCTCCCCGAAACCCCCACTGTTAAATCCTCCCTGGGTACCTTTGCTGCACGCTACCCGATGCTACGGGGGTGGGGGGGGGAACCGCCCATTTCTCCTCTTCCATTGAGGAAACCATCTCTCTCTCTTTCCAACCATCCCTAGCAAGGAAGACCCTCGTGTTTTTCCTCCTTTTCCTCCGAACGTGGAGCCCTAAAGCGGAAACGTACCGGCTTCACGGCGCCCCGCGCCCCACTCCTAGGAGGACCCCGCATGCTTCCTCCCGATCAACCCTCGGGCTCGGCTTCTCCCCTCCCCCCACCCCATCCTCCAGCGGCAGGATAGTGAGGCTGCCCGCCCCGATGCTCCGGGGGGAACCCTTGCTCTGGTTTCCAGGCAGAGGGGGGGGAAGGGGACCCGCCCCGCGCACACCCCGGCGCGGAGTCCCAGGGCTCACCTGCCCCTTGGAGAACGGGGCTCCGATCACGGCCACCGAGTGAACGGATTTCTTGAGCACGGAATGCGCCTGCTTCTGAAGAAGCCTCGAGAGGCTGCTTCTCAGAGACATGACCGGGAGCAGGCCAGCGGCCCAACGAGCCAGCAGGAGCAGGCAGCTGCTCCTCTCCGGACGGCCCCGCCGAGGTCGGTTTACCTCGCCTGGGAACCTCCGCGAGCCCGGAGCCGGTAACTCCCCGCCCCTTCACGGACACGTCACGTACTGCGCGCATGAAGCTCCGCCCCCGCGGGCCTCCGGCACACCTCCTCCACGGTCCCCGCCCACCTCGCGTCCCATTCCACATTCACTTTGGCTTTACTCCACCCTTCTAATCCGGAGTCTCTCGGGTTTCCAGTCCCTGACGTCACAAAGGCCAGTAAGTGCTGCCGGCCAATGAAAGAGCGGCCGCGGAGAGGTGTGTCTCTTCCAGGAGGGCGGGCGGTTCTATTCCTGGGCCTGGGAGGAGGAGCTCGCTGACTCCCGGCTGCCAGGTGGTCTATTCCGTCTTCTTGGCCGGCGTGGCGCGGCCCTTACCTGGTGAGAAGGTTCTTCCCACCTGCCCAAGCCAGCCTCTCCCCCGAGCTCCAGGGCTTCAAGATGTGGATAGTTGTTACGATGAAAACTGCCCTTCCCCACCTAAAAGTGGTGTGAAGTTGAAAGGCTAAGAATTCAACGCTCCAGGTTTTCGTGAACACTCTCACAAGTTTTTTATTTATCGTTCTTTACTAAAGTCACCAGTACCTAGCTTACTCTTTCTAGTGAGAATTTAATCTATTACTCTCTGTTGCATTCTCGGTTTTTTCATTAATTCAAAAGCTGCTGCCGTGTGCAGGGTTTTAGCATACATTCTTTTTTTTAAATAAGTTTTTATTGACATGTTTTGTTTTTACATCATCTACACGCACTGCTGTATACTCTCCCTACGTCTTGGCCCGGAGAGCTTAAAATTTAAAGAATAAAAAAAAAGTTCAGCAAAAACCATCCAGCATATTGTTAACAACTCCTCTGGGAAGAAGGTGAAGGTGCCAATTCTCCGGAGTCGTTTGATCCTTACGATCTCACAGCATTGTGTTTCATTTATTTGTTGTTGTTTCCAGTTACATTGTAACGGTCATTGTCATGAGGTCTAGAGGTTTAAGGGTACTGGGACCCCAAGATAAGGACAGGTAGGTCCTATCCGAAAGAATCCTACCCAATTGTTTCCAATTCTTTGCTACTACAAAATTGCTGCTATGAATATTTTGGTGGTCTAGGGAATAGTCAAAAGCCAGACTGCAAAGTTAAGAAGAGAATGAGAAGAAAAGAAATAGAGGCACAGATTGTAGATTCTCAAGTTTAGCCACAAAAGAAATGATATGGGGTGAGGGATAGGGGGAATGGATCAAGTCAGGATTGTTTAAGGATGAGGAAGAAATCAACAAATAAACATTTATTAAGCACCTACTATGGGCCAGGCACTATGCTAAAGTGCTGGGAATATAAAAAGAAGCAAAAGGTCGTCCCTGAACCGCCCATCCTATGTTCCTCCATGTTACTCCTTGTCATGTTCATCTCTCCCAGATCATATGTCCCATGTTCAAAAATGACAATTATCTCCGCCCTTGGGGTGTGTCAGTTACTATTCAATAAGCTTATTAAGCAAGTACAGTGGGGAAAAGCCTGTGCCCCGTCCTTGACCCCAAGGGGTTGCAACCAGTTTAGCCTCCAGGGCTCTGTCTTAAGGACCTAGTGGTTTTGCAGAATGTTTGGGGCACTTTCTGATTGGTTGAGGGACTATCCGCAAGATCTTGGAAGTCTTCCTCAGAATTCCTGCCTTCTGCTGTGGAAGCCTAACTTCTAAATCTTTCCCCACAATTTCCCCCTTTTTCTTTTCTAGCAAAGGCTTGGCTTCCACATGTTCCCAATTTCCTTATCCTCTAATCTCTTTAACATGATTTTGCATTCTTCATTGCTGGGGGAAGTCTCAGTGGTACTTTTGATCATCAACCTTATATTGCTAGAGCCTGCTATCTGAACTCCCACCGTGGGTCCTACTGGGATAATCTTAGTGAAGGATATCTCATCTCTATCAATCGTCGCACCAGTCCTCTAATGCATGGAACTATACAACATCCTACAGCAGTTAATACTCCTGCGTGGATACAGCCATTCCTTTCCATTTGCCAGACCAGGATTCTAACCATCCCTTTAATTATTTATCTGTCCCAGAGTTCTCCGCCAACTCCTCAGCTAAAGTGTTAAACCTTAGTGATGGTTCTTTCTGGGGCTGTGCTGCTGAGCAACATTTCATCAAGAAATTTGGGGGACTTAAAACAATATGGGGGAAGGAAGGGAGAAACTGACCAATGCACTGACAAATTAAAAAGGGGGCAGTCCCCTTATTAAGATACAAGACCCAAAAGCAACGATAAATTGTCAATTTCAGGTTTTAGAAGTCTCTTCTCATATGGCTGTCTGACACTTTGGACATCATCTGGTAAAGTCTTCTGGTCTAAGTGCTGTTCAAACAGTGTCCAGCAGACTCTCTTCTTGTAGAGATCCTCCTTCTTGTGTCCACTCTCCTACGAGATTGATCTTAACACAATTTTTAAATTACCTTGCCAATAACCAGGTCAAATAATGAAAGCTAACTCAACCCCCATGTCTCCAGCATTACAAGATCAAAATTGGACCCTTGGCCAGCTGTCATGTTTTAAGAAACCCAAATTAGAAAAATTTGAACCTAGCCTTACACTCTGCATTACTTCTAGTTTTATACCTTGTATTAATTCATTATTCATTTCTATTCATATTCCCCCATCAGGAGGATGAAATTCCACTAAGGAATTAATAACAGACTCCAATACATAGTAGTTAATTTAAAAACAGTACATATCAAATAATAAAATAATCCCAACTTCTGGCCATGTACAAATAAATAATCCTTAATTAAAATGGATGCTTCTCTCAAGGCATGTACAAGATAAGTCACACAGGCTAATCCTCTTTTAACATTAATTAATTGTAACAAACTGAGACAACTTTAACATTAACTAAGTAACAAAATAATAGCCTGGTTCCCCAATCTCCTGGCCTAGTTACCCCCATGCCGTCATGAGAAATTAAAGGATCCGGACTTATACAGGAATATGCTAGTAACAAATGTCAAGACCGAATACTTAACTCTGAAATTCTAGGACAAATACAACATCTTATACTTGCATCTTACTATGATAACCTCAGATGTCCCCGCATCAATCTATTATTTAGTAGATTTGATATTATGCTTACAAAACTTAAGATTATAGAAATTTGCCATGAAAGAACAGGGAAAGTAAAGTAAGGGGAAATGCTTCCCTAGATTCATGTCTACTCCAGGCAGAAGTTATATACTAACCAACTGCATTGAGCCAGGCTTCAAGTCTGCCTGGTATCATAGTGGGGAAATTGAGTCAGGAGCATACGATCTCAGCCTTGAAGAAAAATCATCCTCCCTGCGTAGATGCAGCTCAAAACCCTCTCACAGGTTGCTGATGTCATGGGTCAGTAGCTCAATCAGTTCCTTGTTAACCATACCTGGAGTTAGACTCAGAATAATAATTCATTAACAGCCCCCAAAGTCTTGGATTGCAGATTCCCCTCATCAGGGTTTCTGGTGGGACTGCAGTTTCACATTAATTAGGGACCATCCTCTGGAGTGAGCTCTAAGTAGTTTGCATAACTTCTTACACCTGTTCTGGTTCCTAATAACATCCTGAGTAAAATCAAATTTCCATTAAGATCATAAGGTGCTACTCTAAATAGATTTGCTTCTCTGATTCTCAAGCTTATTTATCCCTCTCTAACCCTACTTAATCTGAAAGAATGGTATACTTTCAGGACTTGAATCTTATACATATATGTTCCAGTTCATTTTAACTGTTGCTAGGCCATGGAATGAAGTCAGATCAAAACAGTAAGAACTTTCCTACTCACAGCTTATGACAGAAATGTAGATGCTTTAGTATTAATCAGTAGCTTTAGATCTCTGATACTGCTTCCACTGAGACTATTTCTCTAAAAGCACCCAGTTAAGTCCAATCTAAGGACACAACAAACCCAGGAATGAAACTCTAAATTCATAGTAGGTTTGGATACAATTTTCTTACAAATGGAAACTTAGTAGGCCCTCTAAAAGAATATCAAAGATTTCATCCAAACATTTCTTCATAAAAGTATCTCCCTTTCTTAAAAAAAAACAACAACCCAGCTTACAGTTTCCTAGTTACCATAAAATTCCTAGTTACCTAAATTCTCTAGTCAAAAAGGTTTGTATAATGAGCCATTTACTCAGTAAGAATTCCATAACACAAAACTGCACAGGGTTGATGAGAAAAATTAGATTTTACGAAGTCTTTTTTCTTTTTGTGCATAATTACCAAGTTTCTTTTCACACACACATACAAAAATACTTTTACCACCACTTGACTTAAACAGTAACTTCAAATAGCTTAGTTAACAATCTTAAACCTCATAAGTGCGAGCCAAATAATCCCAGCTAAAATTTCCCTTTGAACATAGACAAAACTTGGAAGTTCACGTTTCTTAAATTACAGTACTTAAAAGGAAATGTTACACAATGGGACCATATAGAATGCCCCAACAGCCCGACCCATTCCTTTTTCTCTTTCTCTGACAGCACAGTGAAAATACTTTTTTGCTAAAAAAAGAATGTAAACTATCATTTGAGCCTTCAGCAAGTATAATCTTTTTGCTGTTGGAGAGTCTTGCCTCACTGTTGCTGGCTGCTGACTGATCAGGGTGGTTGGTGGCTGCCAAAGGATTGGACTGACTGAAAATTTCTTAAAATAAGACAACAGTGAAATTTGCTGCATTGATTGACTCTTTCCTTCACAAGATTTCTCTTTAGCATGCAAAGTTATTTGATAACATTATACCCACAGCAGAACTTCTTTCAAAATTGGAGTCACATACCACATTTATTGATTAAATTCTCTGTCTTATATGGGCATGGTTTGTGGCACCCCAAAGCAACTACATTAACAACATCAAAGATCACTGATCAAAGATTGCCAAAACAGATATAATAATAACTGGAAAAGTCTGAAAATATTTCACGAATTACCAAAATGTGACACAGAGACATGATGTGAGCACATGCTATTGGAAAAATGGCGGCAACAGACTTGCTTGATGCAAGGTTGCCACAAACTTTCAATTTGTAAAAAACAAAAATAAAAAAGGCATCATCTATGAAGTAC